GGGAAGAGATCAACCGAAGGACTTGTATACATGTATATAAGCCAAACCAATTGGACATGGACAACAGGGCAATGGGAGCATGAGTGTGTGTGTGGGGGGTGGAGGTTGGGGGTTAATGGGGGGGATGAGGACACATTTGTAATACCTTAACTAATAATAATAAAAAAAAAAACAGACGCTGATAAAGCTAGCTTTTAGTTTGCTAACTGATCCTTTACTGAAGCTAGGGAGTTCTAAACTTTCCTAGACTTCTGACAGCCTTACCTAGCCTTTTAACTAGCAACCATAGGCTTTGTAGCCTTTAATTAATTTAATTGATAATTGCTATACTTAAACTTTTAAAAAATATATATTTTATTGATTTTTTTACAGAGGGAAAGGGAGAGAGGGATAGAGAATTAGAAACATTGATGAGAGAGAAACATCCATCAGCTGCCTCCCGTACACCCGCTACTGGGGATATGCCCACAACCAGCATACATGCCCTTGACCGGAATCGAACCTGGGACCATTCAGTCCACAGGCCGACGCTCTATCCACTGAGCCAAACTGGTTAGGGCCTTGAACTTTTTTATATTAATTGCATTCATCTTTGTCTTTACTGTAGGAACAAAGACTTCTATTTTTGTTGTTGTTGTTCCCTGTGTAATTCTGGATTAGTAAATGAAATAATAAATGTGAAAGTATTTTTTAAATTTATTTATTTATTTGTAAATGACATGTGTTTTTATTGACTTTATTGGGGTGACATTGGTTAATAAAATCATATGGGCTTCAGATGTACAATTCTGTATTGTGTTCACCACCCCAAGTGAAGTCTCCTCATGTGAAAGTATTTTTTTAAAGCAAAAGCATTTTTTGATGTAAAACATTGAGTGGTTACCATTACTACATGTTTCACTTAATTTTGCAGGGAGTTCCTTTCAGTTATAATACCAATCAGCTCTTTACTTGTGAATGTTTAATAGTCATTTTGTAACCTCTTCTACACTTCAGGTCCTCTATTTCAGCTTGAATTCACTTGCTAACAGGATTAACCTTGATTTCTTTTTGACATTGGAAAAATCTTATAAACTTCATAAAGCACAATTATTCAAAGACTTTGAGTACTTAAACATCATGTAAGACAGGCAACATAATATACTCATCATGTAAGTATATCTGCAGGCTTTAGTTTCTTCATCTTAAAAAGTGGGGGTTGTACTCATTCAGTCAGCACACTAATGACAGCAGATGCTCTGTGTGCTGAGGCAGAACTGGTGGTTAATTATGAGACTTCCCGCCTGAGCTAGCTGCAGCCTTTTCTATATATGCATCTATATTGAGGCAGCCACTTCAGCTGATCTTATCCAAGAAATGAGACTTATTTACCGCATTTGGAAAAAACAATCTTTCTTTAAAAATTCGAAATTTATAGTTCAGTGTTAGGGGGAGGGCCTTTTGAACCTTTATCCTTGAGACTACTACCATTTAAACCTAGACACAATGGCTCCTAACTCTCTAACATGAACCTTGGAGATATCTACCACATTGGTAGTCAATAGTCAAACTCATTATCTTCTTCCCATTCCCTCTCTTCATGCCAAACAAAAGTACACTTCCTTGTTTTTTATTATTAATGCTGTCATTATTCTACCCATTACTTGCTAACAAAATGACCAAGAAAGACAAAAAAGTTCCAGGTTACAGAGGCGTTAAGAGCCTAATTATACCAGTGAACACATTTTCAGTCTAGATTTTACTTGTTTTCTGTGGTATTTAGAATGTTAACCACTCATTCTTTTTCATACTCTCTCAACCGTTCTCTTGTTATCCAAAAAGATTTTGTAAAGTGTTTTCTTAAAAGGCAGGGAAGGAAAATAGACATGGAAAGTGCCAGAGAAAGAGATGTGATGCAGGCTGCTGAATGTGTAAGGTGGTAATTATGAGAGCCAGGTCCTCAGGACCACTGCCCTGGAAATTCCAGAATCATCCTGTCATCATTGTTTGTTTACTAATTTACTTTAGCTAAATTTACTGGGGTAACATTGGCTAAACTTCATGTATATAACTTTGCAATAGTTCTGTATACTCTATCGTGTGTTCCCCACCCAAAGTCTAGTCTCTTCCATCTCATTTGTCTTGTTTAAAAAATCATTATTGGTTACTTAACTGTCAAACATTCCAAGCACGCCCCCACCTCAGGACCTCTGCAATTGCTGTTTCTTCTGCCTGAGTGATCTTCCCTAAGTTATTTGCACAGCCTGCCAGCTCACCTCCGCAGGTGCCTAATCACGTTGGAGAGACTTCTCAGACCAGCCAATCTAAATAGGGCTCCCCACTTGGATTCTCCCTAGTCCCTTAATCTCCCTCCTTTGTTATTCTTCATTACAATTGACTACCTATTATCATTTTATACTTTAATTTTATATATTGATTTGCTTGTCTATGAATTCAAGGATTTGACTCTTCTCCCTGCCATATCCTCTGGGCCTAAAACAGTGCCTGGCTTATAGTAGGCACTCAGTAAATGTGGTTGAAGGAATAACACACTTGGAAAATCACCTGTTAAAATAAGTCCATACTCTTCAACTTGGCATTAAATGTCCTACACAATAAGACTATAACTTAGTTTTGCAGTCTTTTGTGGGAAAATAGGGCATAAAAAAGATTGAGGGACAGGTCATGGAGTACCTAAATAAAGATAGAAATTGTCGGGTTAGAGCTGTGGCTATAATTTTAGTATGACCTGTGGAGCTATAGGTCCTCACGGAGTGAGAGTCTTTTCTCCAATCTCATGAATGTTACCAAGAGGATCAGAGAATGAATGCAGTTACCCTGAGAGCACCCAGGAAGAAAGTCCTATGATAGGGTGCAGCTTTTAAATTAAATGAAGCTAAACTAAGCTGCCCTCAGGTGGGGTACAAGAGAAGGTGCTGAAGCCTAGGACTCCCTCAAATCACCATGTCGTACTAGGTTATTTGTATCAATGTTTTGTATAGAAATTTCAGCACCTCAGTATGTATTGGTTTAAATGTAAAGTCCAATCCCTCACTTTTTAAGTCCCAGTCTTTACACAATTGTTTCTTAATATAGAAATACTAAAAAATACTACATGTAATCAATAGCTCACCTAAACAAATTACTTTTTTTTAAAATTTGGGGTATCTTTATTCTTGCCTCTGTACCCTTTCCTTGTCCTATCTCTATCTCTATCTAGAGTTCCCTCAAGAGCACTGTCTCTCACTGTCAAAAATGATATCTTTATTCCATTTATAAACCTGTGAAAGTTCTTCACCCCCTGACTCCTTTTTGTCCTTAACATGTGTGTCTCTTACTATAGTAATTTATATAATTTACCTCATCATTCTCTGTGCTTCATATGGAGAAACTTTCTTATAACTGTATAGCCACATAACACTTCATGCAAAGCCTTGTCCACAGTAGGCATTCAGTTAATGGTTGTAGAATTGGATTAATTTCCTTGAAAATGACTCCAAGATGATCCAAGGACAGTTATAATTTAGACAGGTAGACATAATGTCATTTTGTTAGAGAATAACTTTTGCACCTAATGCTTCTTCACAACTAATTACTGAATGAATAATGTGATAGTAACTTAGCTGAGAAGTTTTAAATGTACAGGAATATTCCCAGCAGCATTTTCCCCTTTCCTGTGCCCCTGCCGTCTTCCAGTGACTATTGTCAAGCAGGTGCATAGCAGGTACAGTGCAACCAGCACTCATTTTTTCATAAGTAGAGAAAGTGCTGTTCCAAAAATATAAAACCTAAGAAGACTATTTGGACAAAAAAAAAACAGCTACTTTTATTTAATTTTTTAAGAACTGTTTACTCTTTTTTAAATCTTTATATTGAAAATATTACATAAATCCCCCTCTCCCCCCATTGATCTTTTTTCATCCAGCTCCTGCCCCACCCTACACCCTCCTCATTCCATTGTCTGTATCCATAGATTATGCATACATGCGTACAAGTTCATTGGTTGATCTCTTCCTGCCCACCCTCCCCTGCCTTTAAATTAATTTAGAGTTGTTTTAGAATAAATCCTGAATGACTGCTGAGTAAATGATAATGTGAACAAAATACTCAAGAAAACCTATACTTACTTTAGCTACCTCAGCAACAGAAGCAGTTATTTTTGTGGTCACCTGATTTAATATTTGAAAATCAATCTTGAAAACACTATTTTGATTCTCTCACGCAAATGGGTTTATATACTTCTACCCAGTTGTATTCTTTTATGTGGTATGGCAAGGAACAAGCAGTTCATCAACTAAAGAAGAATGTCTTCATTAGTAAGGGTGCATAACAGTAAAAATGGAACATTTGAAATTAACAACAGGGTATTTTTTCCATCTCTAGGGACCAAGAGGAACAGGTGTGCATAACAGAAAAAATGGAACATTTGAAATTAACAACAGGGTATTTTTTCCATCTCTAGGGACCAAGAGGAACAGACGGTCTCTCTGGGGAACAAGGTATACAGGGTGCCAAGGTAATCACTGAGCTTTCTCATTTCACATGCAGTTGTTACTTTGAGCCCATATATTCTGTCTAAAAATGGAGGCATGTCCTTTGAAAAGTATGGCTCTACATTTTCTCAGTCTAAATAAGGAACATACATAAAGTTTTTATCACACACAGAAATGTAATATTTAATATTGAACTGTGTGCATGATGTCTAATTTTTTTTGTAGGTGAGTGTATGCTGGCATGTTTAACACTGTAATTTACAATCTTATTAACTCATTTGGTATTGATACTTTTTTAGGGTGAAAAAGGAGATCAAGGGAAAAGAGGACCTTCCGGTCTTACTGTAAGTAGTAAAACATTTCACATTAAAGATAATCACTTGAAACCTTTCATTTTCTTTGGTGTGTGGTTAATATTTGGGGAAGAAGCTACTTGACCCAAACATTTTTTTTTCCTTATGCAGGGTAAGACTGGAAACCCTGGAGAGAGAGGAGTTCAAGGGAAACCAGTAAGTAATTAAAAATCAGCAATGAACAACCTTGCCTGCTTTACTCTCTGACACAACTGTTGTTTAATATTTAGTATGTTGGACTAACAATACAAGTTCTTTTCTTCAGTCATTAGATCAGTGTTTTAATTTGGGCAAATTGCTTATTTATTCTGAGCCTCATTTATACAGACCTATAAACTGGTGGTTGATAACTTTTCACTCTAGTTATGGTTAGTTTTTCTCTAAAATCCATTTCAAAAGAAAAGGATGTGATATTACATAAATATAATGGAATATTAATAAAGCTGACATAACAAGAAACTTCTTTGAGGCTTCTTGCCTTTCATTTTATTTCAACTTGATTGCTTTTTAGACCCTTTCAGTGTGGAGATATGTGTGTCATCAGGCTTTCCAATGGTACTGCTCTGAGAGTTTTTAACATTATGTAACAGTAGATATTTTCTATAATAAAAAATCTTTTCAGAAGTATACATTTTTTTTCCTGAGAAGCAACAAGTTCTGTGATTATCATCATTAACTGAGGGGCAAAACTGTTTTTAAAGAAAGAAAATAGAAAGATACATATACACATATGTACACAGACATACATATATATTACGTATATATAATTTTGAGCATATAAGCTTAAATGTATATGGGTATTTTTAATTACTTTCATTTGGAATCATAATTTTTAATGATGAAGTTTTGATTTGTAATACACATAAGTGTATGTAATTAAAATTATAGAATTAGATAATATTTTAATAGCCTCCAACTGAAGAGTCCAAGAAGGATAAGAGAAAAATGTTTTAACTGCCATAGTAATTGTCACTGTCACATTTACTTACTCCTCATTGAACTCTGCTGCCCCCTGCCTATTGGTTTTCATAATAGCATTATATTTGACAGTGGACAAACCTAAAATATCAGACCTAAAAGAGAAAAATGACTGTATCGAGGGAAAGAACTTTTGTGTGACATTGTATTATTGGTTGATGTAATCCCCAAAGAATATTCTTTGAATATTAATATTCCTCATCTGAGTTTTTTATATATTAATGTAAATGGTGTTTGTATAGATTTTTTTTCCATCTTACTAAGCCATATACAAAGCTAATATGTTGTAATGAGTGGAGAGACTTGGAGCTCATCAAGTTCATCAAGCTTATTAGATATTTCCGGATAAATGTAAAATTTGATATTTGATTTCTTCAAGCTATATATATAAAAGTCTAAGGACTGAACTACCGAATGACCAGTTGACTGGATGCTATGATGTGCACTGACCACCAGGGGGCAGACGCTCAATGCAGAAGCTGCCCTCTAGTGGTCAGTGTGCTCCCAAAGCAGGAGCACCACTGAGCCAGAAGCCTGGCTTATGGCTGGCACCCACAGCTGCAGCAGCGCAGCCTCTCCCACCTCCGCAGCAGTGCTACCGAGCTGCAGCAGGGGCAGGTGCAGCGGGGCTGGATGAGCGGGGCTGGGATCTGCAGGAGTGGCACCCAGCCTCAGCTTGGGCTCCTCCCTAGCCGCCTGCCGCTTTCTGCATTGCTACATCCCTCAGGGGTTGTTGGACTGCTGATTTCAGCCGGATCCCTGAGGAGATCATGCCAAAACCAGCAGTCTGACATCCCCTGAGAGGTCCTGGATTGTGAGATGGCACAGGACAGGCTGAGGGACCCCACCAGTGCACGAATTCATGCACCAGGCCTCTAGTCAAATATAAAATTCACTAGAGCCACTTTGTAACCATAGCTTATGGCAAGCAAGTTTCATAGACGATTGGAAGAGTAAATTACTTTAGTGGATGATATGGGTTGGATATTAAATCATGAGTTTGTAATAGTTGTTGAGGTTTACTTAGCTCTATACCTACACTGTCTCCTTCTTCTTGATTGAACTGAAATAGACTTGGAGATCTTAAGAAAGCTAGTATCAATCCATCCAAGAAATCCAGACAGTCCTAAAGATTTATTTCTTTGATCCTGCACAGTAATCTCAGTGTCTCTAGTCATTTACCCACTGTCAATAAGCTGACAGTGCTATGAAATAAAAAGGTGTAAAATAGATTGGAGGTCAGATTGACCTTTGTTCTAGTAGTGCATGTTCCTTTTAGCTATATGTATAGTCTTGGTTAAATTAGTTAGCTCTCTGGAGCATATTTTCCTCATCTGTAAAAAAAAAATATCCCTAACTTGTCACAGTTCAGATAACCAGGAGAAAGTATATTTTTCTATGGGCCAAAATTGTTTCCACACATAGATCTCTCTCAAGGGAAAATTAAGAGGAAAGGCTATGATCCATTGTGTTATTAAAGTGATAAAACCTGAGAAACTGTTTTTAGTTTTCTAAGTCTTGAACAAACTAACAAATTGTACATTATTTTTATCTAGCCATTTTTTTCAGTTAATGAGATTAGGAAGTTAAATCAACTATGATTTTATTTTTCTCTATTTCTCTCTTTAATTCTGTAAAATTTTGCTTATATATTTGAAACTCTATTTTAAAGTATTTGCATTTATGATTATAATGTCTCCCTGATCAACTGATCCATTTATCATTACAAAATGTTCCTCTATATCACTGGTAATACTTTTTATTCCTGGTCATGCTTTTTGTTTTGAAATCTATTTGATGTCTTTCCAACCTTCTTACGCTTGCTGGTTCAAGGCCATATCTTTTCCATTCATTTACTTTCAAGCCATCTGTGTCTTGATATTTAAAGTGAGTGTCTTATATGTGGGTCTTGCTTTCTTAGTCATTTGGATAATCTCTGTCTTTTAATTAGCATTCAATACCTTCATTTGGTCTTGAATAATTTTGAGAATGCCATGTTAATTTAACTATTGGCTTTTTAGCTATACTTCTCATTGTTATTTTTAAGTGGTTATTTTATGTCAAAAGTGAGCAAACTTTTTCTGTGAAATGCCAGAAAATAAATATTTTAAGCATTAGGGGTTATATATTCTCTGTCACAACTACTCAGCTCTGTCATCATAGTTTGAAAGCAGCCACAGACAGTATGTAAAGGAATTTATATGACTTTGCTTAAAAAAAAAAACTACATTTGAAAAAACAAGTGGTGGTCCAGATTTTACTGTAGTTTGCCATCCCTGGTTTAAGGATTACAGTATACATGTTAACTTTCCATAGCCTACTTAGAGTTAATATAATACAATTGCTCCTCAACTTACAATGGGATTGTGGGTTACATTGTAAACTGAAAATACGCCTAACCTACCAAACATGATAGCATATCCTAGTGTACCTTAACCATGTTTGGAACACTTAGATTAGCCTACAGTTGGGCAAAATCATCTAACACGGTGAATACACTATAGAATATTGCTTGCTTACCCTCATGATTGCATAGCTGACTGGGAGCTGACACAATGCTGCCCAGCATTATGAGAGGATATCATACTACATATTGCTAGCCAGGAAAAAGTTAAAAATTCAAAGTACTGAATGCATATCACTTTGATACCATTGTAAAGTCAAAAGTTGTAAGCTGATCTATTGTTAAGATGGGGACCACATATAATACTTATAGTAATTGTAAGGAACTGAAAACATATAGCTCATTTACTAACATCCAGTATTTTGTGCTATAATTATACATATATCCCATATTGCAAAGTTAAACCCCATATTGTAAAGCTAAAATTTTGCTTTAATATAAATAAGTTAAATGTGTGTTTTAGAGATATTAGAAAAATAGTGTTATTTTATTTATCCATGCATTTATTATTTTTGGTGTTCTTCATTCCTTTCTGTAGGTCTGCATTTCTAAATGTTGTCGTTTCTCTGTAGCCTATAGAACTTCCTTTAGATTCTTATAGTCAAGTTCTGCTACTGATTAATTCTCTTAGTTTTGTTTATGAGAATGTCTCTATTTCATCTTCATTCTTGAAGGATATTTTCACATGATATAAAATTCTGGGTTGACATTTTCTTTTATTTGATTTTATTCAACACTGAAAAAATTGATATGTCATTTTTCTTTTGACCTCCATTATTTCTACTGAGAAGTCCACACATCTTTATCATTATTCCCCTACAAATATTGTAACAATTTTTTTTGGCTGCTCTCTATTTCATCTTCATTCTTGAAGGATATTTTCACATGATATAAAATTCTGGGTTGACATTTTCTTTTATTTGATTTTATTCAACACTGAAAAAATTGATATGTCATTTTTCTTTTGACCTCCATTATTTCTACTGAGAAGTCCACACATCTTTATCATTATTCCCCTACAAATAATGTAACAATTTTTTTTTGGCTGCTTTCAAGATTTTCTGTTTATTTATTTATTTATTTTTTTTGCTTTTAGCAATTTGAGTATGATGCGCCTAGATGGTTTTGTTGTTGTTTTTTGTTTATTTGTTTTGTTGTTGTTGTTTGCATATAGTGAGCTCGAGGTTTGCTGAGCTTCTTATGTGGATAAATTGGTGTTTTCAGTAAATTGGAAATTTTCTACTTTGTTTTTTCAGATATTTTTTACCCTCTCTTCTCTCTTCTTTCCTTCTTAAATTCCACTTAAATATACATGTTAAACACTTGATAACATCCCTTAGGTCCCTGAGGTTCTATACATTCATATTCCAACCTTTCTTTTTCCAATTTTCTTTTTTTAATTGGATAAGCCCAATCTTTTTTTGAGATTTCCTATTTGTTTATTCTTCATGAGCACATATATGTATTTACATTAATGGTCCTATTTAGGATAGCTTCTTTAAAATTCTTGTGTGAAAAGCTAACATCTGAGTAATTTTGAGTTTTGTTTCCATTAATTGCCATTTCTTATGAATAAGAGGAATTTTTCTGTCCAGTAATTTGGAACTATATCCTGGACATTTTGAGTAATGCATTGTAGAGACTCCAAATTCTATTATAATCCTTTGAAAAGTATTTCTTTTTTAAATTTGACTGGCAATTAATTTGGCTGGATTCTAGGTTCTGTGGTAGGTGAAAATCTCTGTTCAGTTTTTTGTTTGTTTGTTTGTTTTTTGTTGGGGTTTTTTTTTTTTTTTTAGTCTTGGCTTGGCTGCTTGGAGTCTGCTTCACCATTACATAGTTCAAATATCAGCAAGAGACTTAAGCAGAGTTTATACTCAGGTTTTGAGGCTTCCTCTCTCTAGCTCTCTCTTTTCCATCATTTTCTAGGAGCTGTCATCACTCCAAATTCTGCCCTCTGGTTCTCTATGCCAGTGAGACTACAGGTCTCTATCCTGCTTTTAAAAACCATCCTATATGGCTTACCTTCTGGCTAGAAGTCATTAAAAAATCAGAAACTCACCTACTGACATTCTCTTCTTCTATGTGTAGACCTCTCCACTCTAGTTTTTGCCTATTTTTGGTCTTTCCTGAAGGCCTTCAGATCTTTTTGAAAAATTATATCTTTCCTAGGTGTATAGTTTTCTGCATATAGGTTGGTTTATAGGAACTATTTGGCCAATATTAGAAGTGGGAACTCTTAACAAATCTTTAAATAGAATTTTCTCTGGAATAACTCAAAATACTTGAGAAAAGTTTATTTCATAATTCTTATAATACAAAAAGTGTGTAGTATTAACTCTATTCTTTCCCCATTCTTCAGATAATGAAGCAGAATGCACACAGTTTTAATGATCCTACAGTCAAGGTGTAGCCATGGAAATAATATTTATATGGCCCCTTGCTTATTCTCATGAAAATTCTTTGAGGATGCTCTATATATTGGCTGAAAGGGGAAAAGGCATTGAATGATTCCTCATTGAAATCAGTAGAAAGCAGTTTGGTATAGAGGAAGAGCATGTCATTGGATCAAGCATATTGGAGGGCAAATATTGGTTCTACCACTTACTAGCTGTTTCCACTTTGCACAAATTATAGGACCTCAGTTTCCCCATCTTTAAAATGAGATACTTTTCGCCCTAACCAGTTTGGCTCAGTGGATAGAGCATCAGCCTGTGGACTCAAGGGTCCCGGGTTCGATTCCGGTCAAGGGCATGTACCTTGGTTGCGGGCACATCCCCAGTAGGGGGTGTGCAGGAGGCAGCTGATCAATGTTTCTAACTCTCTGTCCTTCTCCCTTCCTCTCTGTAAAAAATCAATAAAATATATTTAAAAAAAATAAAATGAGATACTTTTTATTGTTATAACAAATGATGTTTATTATTTGTTTGGCACAAGTTCTCAATAAATTGCAACCATAACAGTCATTATTGTCCTGGTCATCATATTCATAATTGCTGACTTCAAGTCATGGAGCAAGGAGGTCTACTACAAATAATGTCTTTTCAGTAGCATCTGTAAAGCCTTAAAGGGAATTTTTATTTTGTGCCAGCTTTTGCTTTTCTTCTTCATCTCTAATAAAAATAGAGTCCACTTAAGTCATTTCATAGCTTTGCCAAACAGCTTTTATGCACCATTAACAGCATTAAAAGTATATAAGAAGCTGATACTGTGCGCAAACACACTTTACAAAGCAAACTAAGCATACATTATTTAAGGTTCTAAATTTTCACTGTGTGTTTCAGTTAGGATCCCTTATGTTGATTCTGTCACTTAATTTAGGAGCCTGGAGTAATGGGTAGCATATGATTTTCATTACTGAAACAGGGTCTTAGTCAGATGGAAGTCCATGATTTTATATATCTTTCTTTCTCCAACAGGAGAACCATGCATAACTAAACATAGCATTAATGATTGTAACTTAGAAGATTGCATGTGGCTAGAAATTTTGAATATCTGTACTTCTAATATAATATCATATTTTCTCTTAGCTTTTAGTTTTAATATAAATAGTAATTGTGATCCACTGTACAGTTGCCAATTTTCCCAATGCCAGTAATATAAAGGAGGCAAATTTCAAATACACAAGGGTAGTATTTTATATATCACTAGAGGCCTGGTGCATGAAATTCATGCACAGGGGTGGGAGGAAGTCCCTCAGCCTGGCCTGCACCCTCTAGCAATCCAGGATCCCTCTTGCAATCTGGGACTGCTGGCTCCTAACCGCTCACCTGCCTGCCTGCCTGATCACCCCTAACCACTTGCCTGCCTATCTGATCACCCCTAACTGCTCCCCGGCCTGCTTGATCACCCCTAACCACTTTCTTGCCTACCTGAATGCCCCTAACCACTTGCCTGCCTACCTGATTGCCCCTAACTGTTTATCTGCCTGCCTGATTGCCCTAACCATTCTTCCTTCCTGCCTGATTACCCCTAACTGCTCACCTGCCTGCTTGATCACCCCTAACCATTTGCTTGCCTACCTAAACGCCCCTAACCACTCGCCTGCCTACCTGATTGCCCCTAACTGCTCGCCTGCCTGCCTGATCACCCCTAGCCACCTCTGTCTTGGCCCCACCACCACAGCTTCATCCAGAAGGATGTCTGGAATGATTTTCAGAAGGTCGTTCGGCTGTCCAGTCTAATTAGCATATTACGCTTTTATTATTATAGATTAGTAGTCATCAGTGTTTGGTACACAGTACATGCTCAGTAAATCTTTGAATAGGAGAATCAAAGAGGACCTGGAATTTCATTTAGAGTTTTATGCAACATTTTAGAATATACCCCCACATATAAGAGACAATTTTATGGTAGCATAGATGGCATGGTATAAAATGTGGGGGGCAGAAGACATTGGAGGGCTCCAATTTGGTCATTTAGGGCCTGAAATCCTTGTGCTTTACCAGGTTTTAAGGGCATAAATCATACTTTTTAGCACATTATAAGGATATTATTTTTGGATAAAAGTACTTTTGTTAATATTAAAGTTATTAAAAATCCAAATTTAAAATAATTATGCATAATTATTAACCACTGTATAGGAAGGGAATTAAATACAAAAATACACATAGATACAAAGAATTCCTAAAGCTTGACCACAACAAAAATGTGACAAAAATGGCACAGAACTTGAATAAGACATTATTCCAAAGAAGATATACAAATGGCCAATAAGCACATGAATAGATGCTCAAAATTACTAGTCATTAGAGAAATGCAAATCAAAACCACAGTGAAATACCACTTCCTACCCATTAGGATTATTGTTATTTTAAAAAAAGAAAAGAAACACACACACATGCACATAGAAATTAACCACTGTTGGCAAGAATGTGGAGAAATTGGAATCCTTGTGCATTGCCGATGGGGATGTTAAATGATGGGGATGTAGTAGAAAACTATTTGGTGGTTCTTCAAACATTTAAAGATAGAATTACCATTTAATCTATCAATTTCACTTCTAGGTATATATCTAAAAGTATTGCAAGTAGGGACTCAAAGTGATATTTGTACAACAGTGTTTATAGGAGCATTATTCACAGTGGCCAAGAGGTAGAAATCCCAAATGTTCACTGACACATAAATGAATATACAAAATGTAGTATATACATATTATGGAATGTTATTCAACCTTGAAAAGAAAGGAAGTCTTAACGCATGTTACAACATGGATAAGCCTTGAAGACATTATGCTACATAAAATAAGGCAGACACAAAAGAACAAATATATTCGTTCTTATATGAGATAGTCAAATTCAGAGACTGAAACTAGAATGTTGGTTGCCATAGGAATGGAGGAGGGAGATAAGCAATTATTTAATGAGTATAGAGTTTAAGTTTGGAAAGATAAAATGGTCTAAGGATAGATGGTGGTAATGGTAGCACAACAGTGTGAATGTACTTAAAGCCACGGAACTGTACATTTAAAAACTGTTAAAATGGTGAATTTTGTGTTATGTATATGTTACCACAAAAGGAAAAAAGAAAGAATAGAAGTAGACAGAAAAGTTAAGTGGGACAATTGTAAAAGAAAGCTGAGGTAAGGGAACTGTCTAAAACATTTTCAAGCATCACTTTTTTTTCAAGTTCGCCTTTGTTTGTTCAGGGTTCACAAGGACCTCCTGGGAGTACTGGAGACAGGGGACTTGCAGGAGAACCAGTAAGTTTATCTTTATACTTTTCAATAATACAAAACCTTGCATCATAATTAGATAAATATAATTTAATTATAGAGTTTCCATGGAAAATGAATTGTGAAAAAGACCTTGTCACACCTAGTTTCTCATAATTTATTTTTTATTGCCTCTGAAGTCATTCTTCTGGGATGGTATCAGATGTAATATGTTGTAACAAGCTTCTAAGACTTACAATATAGTCTTTCAAGCTACTGAGTTGATCTTATGCGTCAGTTGACACAATGGCTTATAGGTGGCCTTTGCATAATTTTTAGCTAGTAACAAGTGGAAAATTCTAAAAGTCAAAAAGTTATTCTTATCAATCTTCTTTCCTGGTATAATGTCTGGTACAGTATATCTACTTAATGCATGTTTATTAAACTTAAATTGACCAAAGTTCATATCCCAGTGATATAATCATTCAGCCAGTAATAGTAGATGGAGTGAAGTGGGATGAGAATTTAGTCTTAATAAAGAACACATTTAAATAAAAATAAGTGTGTTAATAGAGCTATGACAACAGCAGAGACAATATATTCAACCTTATACAAGAAAAGATTTGTTATTGTGGCCATAAATCACTAAATGGCTTAACAGTACCTAAACATTGACATCCAGGTCATAGGGTTAGTGAGGTTGGTGAATAAAATATAAATCAATATATAATGAATAAAATAGGTTTTATTTCATATATTTGAGCTGCCTGGCCAAGCCATAGTACAGAAAAGAACAGAAGTAAATTGGTAAAATGAAGGATGCAGGAGAGATATTGAAACATGTTTATATTTTGAAAATAATAAAATAGAAGACTACAACTGTTCTATAGCCAACACCTATTAGAGTTCTCTTTTTCTTAAACAAGATTCAAAACTGGTTTATCCATTGCAATACACGTATTGGGATTTGGATAGTTTATCATTTATTCACTAAATCAACAAATATTTATTAAGAACCTGCACGTGGATTATAGTGGTAACCGTGGAGTTTTCAGTCTAACGATAGAATTACACATTAATTAATAACAGAGATAAATGGATAATTTAAAAGTGAGATGAATGCTCTAACGTATAGGAATTCAGTTCAAAGAGACACTATCCTAACTGGGGGTAGGAAAAGCTTCCATGAGCAGGAGTATTGAGCTGTGATCTCCAGGATGAATAGTAGTTACTTAGGCAAACATGGGAAAATGTCATTCTAGAGAGAAGTTATGCACCTTGGAAAAAGCACTACATATTTATTTAAAGATCTAAAAAAGGCCAACATGGCTGTGGCACAGAGTCAGATAAAAGTAAGTGCAAGGTGAGGATGGAAAGGGAGGCAGGGGACAAAATACAGGCAGCTTTATGAGCCATGTTCACAAGGATTTGTATTTTTATCCAATAAACAAAGGGATGCCATTGAAAGGATGGGGCTAGTTTTATGACCCAATTATTACTTTGTTAAAATCACTCAAACCACAAGGTAGAGATCAAACTGTCATGGGCCAAGAATGGAAAAAAGTGTTAATTTCTGTTGCGAAATAAGAGATGGCAGAACCCTTTAGATTAGCAGAGAAAAGAAGTGCACAGGTACAAAAAAAATTCAAAAGGAGATAAAACCAACAGGAAATAGATATCCTATATGTGAAGTACAATTCCTACATTTCTGGCTTGAAGAATTAATGAGATAATTATATCATTTACTAAAACTGGAAATAACATCAGAAAGCTAGGTTTGATAATGGCAGGTTATAAGTGCAGTTTAGCTATGTTAGATTTGAGGTGTCTTCGACAAATGTGAAGTTGAAAATTAGATATGGAACTCAGAGCAGAGGAATTTACTGAAGTTAAAAATATTGGAGTCATTGACCTAGGGAGAGAATATTGGAGTGAGAAAAGAAAAAGATCTGAGCTTTAAAACAAAAAAAAAAGTCAACATTTAATAAATGTTCATAGAAGAGGAATGAACTGAAGAGGAGACTGAAAGAGGTGAGAGGAAAATCAAACACATACCCAGTTCAGCTCTAATCAGAACCTATCTTAAATTCTTCATGACAATCTTAGATTCCTTTAGAAGTATGTAGGCAAAACTGTGAATCTATTTGCAATTATAGCTCTCAGATCAGTCACTTCCTTTTGTAAATAAAGTTGTGTTGAAACACATTTATAACTGTTCACAGACACATATGGCTCTTTCCTTACAACAACAGCAAAGTTGACATATGTGACAGAGACCACATGACCCACACCTCAAAATAACTTATTATCTGGCCCTTTAGGAAAAGGTTTGCTGATCTCTAATCTAGAATTTAATCACATTTGGAAAAAAAGTCCAATCAATGCAAAACTGATGCATATTGTACTCCTGGATTTGTACAGTGCACAACTGTATAAAATTGCCTTCAATAAGAAGAAAAATACGATCAAAATTTCACAAATTTGCTAAGCAATCTAGAAACTAACTTAAGTAGAAAAGAAAATTATTATCTAAATAGAAGACTGAAAAGTAAATAATGATTTTTTGAAAATAAATAAATAAAGCCATGGCTTCTGTGGCTCAGTTGGTTGGGGTTCCTTCCATCCATCAAAAGGTCACTGGTTCAATTCCTGGTCAAGCACATGCCTGGTTTCGGTCTTAATTCCCAGGAAACAGTCAACTGATGTTTCTCTCTCGCATTAATGTTTCTATATCTCTCCTTCCCCCTTCCTCTCCCTCTCAAAGCAATAAAAACACATTTAAATAATAAATAAATAGAAGGCGAATACTTTTAAAGTTAATGTGTTAATTTTAAATTAATGTGTAATTTAACCCCATCCTATTTCCTATTATAAATTGGGTATAGGGGCTTGGTTTAATTATTCTAATGATAAATATGAATGAGCAGGCAAAATAGCTTAATATTTTAACCTGGCATAAAATATAATGTTGCTAGAATTTAAAAGGGATAATAAAGTTAGAACAATTAAATTCTGTGACACTGATCCAAATATAGACATGCAGATATGTGGAACAGAAAATTATAGAGAAGATTTTAATATTTGATGAGGACAATGTTACACATCAGTAGTGAAGTGCTGTGCTGAATGCTGAGGGCTCATTAACACATGAAGAGTTCACAGGTATTAGAAATATAGGCAACACATTAGCAAATCATTTCCACATAATAGGGTAAGTACTAAAATAGAGGTTAGTTTACAGTCCTACAATAGCACAAAGGAAATGCACTTAGCCCAACATGCATTTCCCAGAAGATTTGGTTTAGGAAACTGCAATTGGTTTGAATCTTGGATAAATTAGAGGTAGCCAAGAGAATATGACAGAAAAAATACTCTAGGGTGAATGGAACAGCATGAGGGAAGACATGAGGGCATAGAACAACTTGATCTCTTCAAGGAAGCCTTAAGCAGTTATATTCACTACAACATAAAGTGAAAAATAGGAAGTGTTGATACTTGGTTAAGAGGTGTTTTTTTTTAATTGAATTTATTGGGGTGACATTGGTTCGCAAAACCATAAAGGTTCCAAAGTTTACAACTCAATAAAACATTATCTGGATTCTCACCTCAAACTGTACATAAAAACAATGGCCTAAATAAATATTTTTAAATCATAAGCAATAAGAGTAGGTGAAAGAATTTTTAAATAGGAATAAATGTTTAAATTTAAATATGATTTAAAAAGTAATAAAAGGCTGACAGCTTTATTTAATTATATACAAATTTAAAACTTTTTTCATCCTAATTTTTAAAAAAAGTTCAAAGATTTAAGGTGATACACCAAAGTATTAAGTGGTTCCAGTGGTTATTTGGGGTAATTTTTAATTTTGTGTATTTACAAGTGTTCTATAGTGATAATGTTTGAGAGTAGGTGGAAGGTTACCCTTAACAACATATTTTAAAAATAAAATGACACACTACAAAATGAAATTAGCAATAAAATAGGACAGATTAATACATAATGTCCCTAATATACAAATATTTTTAAGTGACTCCCAAAATATGTGGGCAAAGGGCATGATCAAGCAACACATAGAATATCATGGATAGCTGATAAACAAGTGGAAAAAAAATATTACACCACTCTCATTAAATATAGACACTTTTAAAGTACTCAATTGTCCAGCATATTAACAAAGAATTTTTAAAGTATTCTATGTTGGTATGCATTCAAAAAAATAGGTTTTAATTTTACTATGTTGCTTTTTTAATGTTAATTATTGCAACCTTTTTATAAATTCATTTGACTTTTGACCAAATAATACATTTCAGACTGTGTTCTAAGGGGAAAAGTGCAGACTATACACAAAGACTTGTGCACAAAGATGTTTCTCTCAGTGTGTTTATAATAGGATAGGCATACATTCTGAGAATAATCCATAAATTTCTAAATATTACTCATAATCTTATCTAATACAGTGGGAATATGCAAATTGACTGTCACACAGCGACAGACAAGATGGCTGTGCCCACAGCAGAGGCCAAGTTCCCATAACGAGCCTTAATGAGCAATCAGCAGGGACCTGAGGCTGAGCCTCCTTCATGGTGGGGCTTGACAGGGGACTTCAGGCAAGGGGCACAGCCTGAAGTCCCCTGCCAAGCCCTGCCAGGCTGGGGGACCTGAGGCCGCACCCTCTGCCCAACAGGGCTTTGACAGGGAACCTCAGGCCACATTCCCCACCTGGCAGAGTTGACGCGGGACCTCAGGCCTCCCCTCACCCCAGCACCGGACTGGGGGACCTGAGGCCATGCCCCACACCACAGTGCCAGGCCGTGAGACCTGAGGCTGCACACCCTGCCTGGCAGGGCTTGACAGGGGACTTCAGGCTGTGCCCCTCACCCTGGTGCCAGGCCAGGGGACCTCAGGCCACACCTTCCACCCTGGCGCTGGGCCAGGCTACCTGAGGCTGTGCCCCCCACCTGGCGGGGCTTGACGGGAGTTGGGCCGGCCAGGTCTGGATCTAGCCCAATGGGGATGGGGCCAGCTGGGTCTGGGTTTAGTGCAATTTTGAGACACCACAGGTGGGTGGGGACTTGACTTGGTCCCACAGCACACCCCAGACTCTGACAGGAGGAAGATTTTCATATATATTTTACTAATTTTCTTTCATCTCTGACACTTCTATTATAGAGAAAGGGCAAATAGCAATATTAAAATATTTCCTCTAATTAATCCTTTTTTAATGTGCATGAAATTTGTGCACTGGGCCACTAGTATTTAATAAGCCATAATTGAAAAATATCACTGACATCTTAATACCTTCAATAATTATACATAGAGTACAATATAAGTGACACCTATATACCAACCTTATTTATACTCCTGTCTTTCGAAAGTTTATCTCAGTCATTTGACAATATCACATGATGTTACAGATCTTGACTTTCACGTATCACTGGTCCAACATGCATATAATAAACCCACTAAAACAACATTACACAAAAAGAGGAATTAAAAACAGTGTATATATCTAATATTAAGAAAATGATTAATTTGTGGTACTATGGAATGTTGTGTAGCCTTTGAATAAATTTGTTATGAAATATCTATAATAATAAAAGCATAATATGCTTATTAAACCAGACAGCCAAGCGACATTCCAAATGACCTTTTAGCTGCGAGGGCCGAGCCCCTTGCACAAATTTTGTGCATTGGGCCTCTAGTTTACAACAATGTAATACAGTATTTATATTTAGAATAGAATATTAAGCATATAGCAGAAGGATACAGATTTATAAGTATGGTCCTACAAAAGAATTAGAAGACACTATGAAAGAATATTTATGGTGTTTGACTTAATCTGTTCTTTATACTTTCCACACTTTTCAAATACTTTTAAATGAGCCTACTATAACAATTTAGAAAAATAGTTTAAGATAACCAATCATACCAGTTTTACTCCCCATTGACAGGGGACTTCAGGCTGTGCCTAAAGTGACTATTTTTTAATAGTCATGTGTTCACAAAATTGTGAGTATAACCTCATAGAAAACTTTAAATCTCTTCTTATTTTCTGAATCTTAAAAACATTTTTTGTTTTTCCAGAAAGATCAAAATTACTGTCTCTCCAGAAATATCAAAAAGTGCAAGTAGCTCTTTTGCATGACTGCAGAAATACCATTATATTGTAGCTTCTAAATAAGTATGAATTTATCTAAAATAATCCTAGCCAATTAAATGGCTTCCACATCCTAAGAAGATCCCTTAAATTAACCAATTTAATATTTAGGCAGTAAGGCAATTACTCAATATTTTTTTACTTAAAATTAAACTATTCAGTATCACAGTGACCAAGATTTCCATAACAGTCCCATCATGCATTTTGCTGCACCTTAGTGATTATCCCATGTGAACATTGTTACATCCATTCATAGGAAACAGGAATTATTCAACTGGACTCTACTGTGATAAAGTACGACAGCCTAGTTTTATATCATTCGAGACCAAATATTTGCTTCTTCAAAAATGCTATTTTTGTCACATATTTTCCCAGAATGTTAAGTAAGTCTATCATCATCATGGCCATTAAATAAAATAACTTTTGAAACCCCTTAGCACAATATTTCATGAGTGTTTATTGATGAATGAGTAAATGAGGGGATGAAAGAATAAATGGTACTATCTTTTCTTTTGAATCCAAGCATATCTTACTATTATTCACAAAAGAAACACACATGTATCAAAAGAGATATACTTTTGTTTATACAGAAAGTAATGTGAAACATTAATAAATGTATTGTGATATCTTATAAATTCCATATTTAGATGCATATGTTAATTAAAATATAGAATAATCTTTGATTCTCAGATTTTAAATTTTATTTTAATACAGGGACCGCGAGGACTGCAAGGCGATGCTGGGCCTCCTGGAGAAATGGGTGCTGAGGTAATATTTTGTGGCTGTTTCTTGTTAGTTCATTAGTGCTTAATGCTTTCTGTAAGACTCCTCAATGTGTAATTGATATATTAAATATATATTATGGAGAATAATTCCATAGTGTTTCATTTCATATTCAGAAAGTAAAGCCTAAAATTCCATTAAAAGCAGATGACTATTCTGTGGACCTAATTTTATATACGTAAAATTTTCCCCTTAACACCTAGTTTTAATGACAGAATAGAACATGAATAAAACTTTTGCTTAACCTATTGAAAGTTAACTTGATAACTTTCTATGTTATGTCTTACTTATATAGAAGAATATTGAAAATTGACCCCGGTTTGGCATATATTCTGAAATAATAACCCCCAGTTGTTATGATGATAAAATCTAAATTACTATTTCTGTTGTTTATTCAGTTTAGCACTAAATAAGTTGTACATAAATTCTCTCCTTCCTTGGCTTCTTGGCAACTGCTGTCTCTAGGTTCTGCTCTGTACCTTCTGATGGGCCTTTTTCAGTTTTTATGTGAAGCTGTCCTTCTTCCTCAGCTTAGCAGTCGTATGATCACAGTGACTTTAGCAGTATTATTCTGACAGCTCTCAGCTGGATAGCTCTAATGCATGCCTCTGTCTTCAGCTCCACTTACTTATTTTCTGCTGTCTTTTACATATGTACCTAGATATCCCACATCCATCTCAAATTAAAATATCTAAACCAAAACCATTACTTTCCCACTGTTCTATCTTCTGTTACTCCCATCCCACTGAGAGATAACCCTTTGGCCACTAGTCTTAAACTGAGTCCTCCTAGACTTCTCTTCCTACTTCATCCTCTCCAATCATCCACCTTTCCCCTTAGAATAAGTCCCCCCCACCCTCCGCTATGTCTCAACTCTAACCTTTCCTTTTCAGCACTATTGTCAGTACTCCAGTCCTCTGTTTTTATCCCATGTCTCACCCAACTCCCATCATTTCTTAGCTTGTGACCTGCTTATCTTTGTCATATCATCTCTCTCCTTAAACATTTTTAATGGTTCTCATAGCCTTAATAAAATGTCAATTTCTTAACATGATAAATAATATCCTAGCCGAAACCGGTTTGGCTCAGTGAATAGAGCGTCGGCCTGCGGACTGAAGGGTCCCGGGTTCAATTCCGGTCAAGGACATGTATCTGGGTTGCAGGCACATCCCCAGTAGGAGATGTGCAGGAGGTGGCTGATCGATGTTTCTCTCATCGATGTTTCTAACTATCTCTCTCCCTTCCTCTCTGTAAAAAAATCAATAAAATATATTAAAAAAATATTCTACATTATTTAACCTCTGCAGACCTTTCAACCACATCCCAATAAAACTTTTCTCCTCCCCTATGTGTTCAGTTCTCCTCCCCTATTTTTAATAGCATGATTTTTTGCTTTGCACTGTGTATTACTGGGGATAAAAGGATGCTGAGATATGGTCCCTGACTTCTTTAGGAGTTTATAGTCTACTAGGGGTCCAGTGCATGAATTCGTGCACCTTGAAAGAAACTGTGGGCCACGGGGCTGCGGTAGGCACAGGGGCAGGTCTTGGCCCATCTTCCGCGCCCCCGCCCAGCCCCTTCCACCGCAGCCCCTGGCCCCCTGTCTGCCAGCAGCCTCTCTCCCACTGCCACCGCAGCTCACACCCACTGACAGCGCAGAGCAATTGGGGCTGGAGCCAGCAGCGGTACTAGCATGACTAGCACCTTCAGCAGGTGTGAACGTTGGCTACTGCCCCGATTTCCCCTCAGGAGCAGGGGGAGGTGGAGAAGCCCTCAGGGGCGATCAGGGCTGGCAGCCGCCACTCGCACCCACTGATGGCACCGAGTGATTGGGACCGGTACCAAGCACTGGCAGCAGGTGCGAGCGATGGCTCTGGTGCCAGGTGCAGGTGTGAATGGGGCTGGCGCCAGCAGCAGTTGCAAGCACTGGGCGGGACCGCAGCTAGCGGGAGCAAAGAATTTTTAGTAACCACCAGTGGCTTACCCCAATGACAGCAGCTGGTGCCCCACCTTGGTCTGGCACCCCCGTTCACCTCCTTCACCATCCACCACAGCCAACACCCGCCATGTTCCGCACATGCCCCCTGCTGGTCAGCACATGTTATAGTGACCAGTTTTTCGGTTGTTCCAGTTCTTCTGCTATTTGGTCTATTTGAATATTAGCCTTTTATTATATAGGATTCTAAAACATAATCATACAAAAGATCATTATGTTACAATGCATTAAACCCAATGATGGAGATATTCACAGGGGATTTAAGAGCACTTAACCTCACCTGGGTAAGGAAAGCAGAAGATGTGTGTGTGTGTGTGTGTGTGTGTGTGTGTGTGTGTGTGTGTGAAGGAGGTATGAGATGAGTTTTAAGGATTGAGAAAGTGTCAGCCCTATGAAAAGAAGGAATAAGAATAAGGGAATTCCAAGAAAAGGCATGCATGAGCAGAAGCATGCAAACACGAGGCAGTGTGGCCTCACAG